GTTGTTAATATCTTGGGTGTGGTTACAAAAATCTAATCAGAAGACTTTATCCTTTTATCCAGGTATCGAAGTTGGATAACTACTTGTACAGGATACTGATAGCCACCAGTTCAACAAGACCAACCATCATAGCTCGAACAGCTCGAGGAGAAAAATTTCGCTGAAAGTCTGTATATAGAGGTTATTAACGGCCCTGATCACGGTTCTGACCTTTATAATTGGCGCCTAGGTCATTTGGCGCCAACATGGCTCTGAATACCCCCCCCTAACTGCGGGTTGGGATGCTGCGAGAATCACTTGAGAAACTACAATGCTGCCTCACTGTGCCAAATAAAGTACTTTTTCACCTTGACTTGTATTGTTTTCGATGCAGTGTCGACGAAGGTCTCATTTGCTATGCATACTCGACATTAGAAATAGAAAAGAGCCTAGAAAAATGGTTCAAAATCGCTTTTCCTCAGCAAACTTTTCACCCATTTTTTGACCTTCCCAGAAATGCATAGCAAAAACGAAACCCATTTTTGTGATCCTTATGTGGACCCCTACAACATACAACAAACCGTTTCTGAAAAGCGCGCCATGACCTGAAAGACCTCCCTTGCTAACAGTTGAACTCGTCTCATCCAATTTCACTGCGGATCCGCTCTAATCGTGTGTTTTTCAGGCTCTGTCGCAGCAGTGTCATCTCCATGATACCCCAGGTTCTTGAATTCTCGTATTTTGTCAGTTTCGTCGTAGATCTTGAACTCTAGCCGGAGGGCATTCTTTTGTCATAGAAAAAACAACTAACAGCGATAATGCTTGCAGCTAACTCGGCTTCAGCATCCGCTGCGAACTAGGTTGGTGTCACAAGAACGTCGTGTTTCTATGGAGTGGTCTTGCCTACTACACTTGAAGAAGTGGTTACGGTGATGCACACCTACTCCATTTTGCTCATATTGAGCTCGGGTTCATGATAGTCACTTCTCTTTTCCACCGATTGACATGTCGTTCTAATTTATTTCCATGGCGGTAACAGCAACATATCCTAACGTCAGAGGAGGCTGTGTCTCTGAAGGTTCCCAGTCGCAGCAGAGTCAACTGCAACGAGGGGCCTACCTCTGTTAACTGATGATCGGAATCTGTGGAGTATCACCCAGATGGCCAGATAGATGCACTAAAGTTCAAAAGAGTCGGCTGTACGGCTTCAACGAGCACTTCTGAAGTTTCTTATGCTTCCCAAATCAACTGACGCCGCACATGGCCGAGAGCTTTTTCCAGATCCAAAAAGATGAATGTCTCATTCCATTCCTTGGCCTTTATCATAGAACAACGTGCAATATGAATGGTGCCAGTGTTCTCGTGCTCAGGTCGAAACCCGCACTGCATATAAGTGAATTGACTATTTCACAGCAGTCTAGTGCACGTTCCTTCAGTGTGCTTGGATCTCTGCTTCTGGTTGTCTTCGGGGTTGTGATAAGACTATTTGCATTGAAGATTTATCCGGCGAGTGCACAACACAAAAAATAAACTGAACAACCCTACCGCTCACCTCTCTTAAATACGATCTTGGGAGAAGTGTGCAGTATCAAGCTTTACCAGAGTTCCTTCCTCTGATACAATACCTCCCCCAGTAGAAAGACAAGGAAGGAAAAAAAGAACAACAATATTTGTCTTTCTACTTACAAGGGAAACAAAGCATTCGAAATTTGAATCTACACATCAATGCCATATCGTTTCACGGGTCTTCGTATTCTAGTCGATCGTCGCAGTGATGGTTCTGGAGAGCACGGTAGAGCGGTGTTGACGTCCGATTCACAAGCAGCCTCGCGTTTGTTTCTCAGCTGATTGTTATACATTTCTAACACGTCAAGCGGAGTTTTCAACGACTTGTCCTCACGACTCCAGCTTGTCCTTGTATTGTTGTGTCGTAATTGATTTGCGTGTTCCGCATCAGCCTTCCTTCCACGACGACCTCATAGTTAACTTTCCCGAGTCGTTTTGCGACAACTCCTTGCTTCCATGCGAAGTGTGGGGACTTCCCACACCTTAACATACACGTCCTCTCCCTTTTTAAATTCCTTCCAAATGGGGCCGTTCCTTCTATCGTACTGTTCCTTAATATTCGTTGGATTTCCTTCCAAAACCGCATGAGGAACCAGACGGCTGCTACGGAACAATTGACGCATATTGTGTGTTAGCTGTAATCTCGATTTTTTCTTGGTGCAGCGTCCTACACCTTCTTCGAAAACATCCGGGAATGTTTTCTTCAACTCTTCTTCACGTCTGGGGTTGCAGTTGGCCTTCACTTTCAGCCATCATTTCTATGTGGTACATCAAATTCTCATTTGCTCGAATCCATTCGAGACCCAAGAGTGAGCTGTGCGGCGTCACATAGGCGTCTCCTTCAGTAGTGACACCTTTCATGGTAATCTTGCATTTAAGCTTTCCATATATCTTCATGGTATCTCCACTTGCGTTTTTCACGACTATATTGGTCTTTTCCAGCGCCTGGGAGAAAACTGAACAACCCTACCGCTCACCTCTCTCAAATACGATCTTGAGAGAGGTGTGCAGTATCAAGCTTTATCAGAGTTCATTTCTGGTACAACAGTGCGCTTGGCGAATCTCCTATATTCTCATAGATAGAGATGGTGACAGTTTTTGTCCAGTCCACAAGGATTGTTCTGTCCTCTATGAAAATTGAAAGCTGCTTCAGACGGGAAAGACCTCCAAAACAAT